AAAACTGATTTAGGCTCTTTTTTTATTATTTTTAAATCGATATGCAAAAAAGAAAAATAAAGTGGAAAGTCACCCGCTCTCAAAAACAAAAATAAAGGTTGGGGGGGGGGGGGCAGGGAAAGGAAGGGAGGGAAAATAATTAAAAAAAACCCAAAACAACCCAAAATAGTGACTGTACAATGCAAAAAAAAAAATCACTAAGAAAATCTAAGCCCACCCTGGGCATGAAAATTCCCCCTTGGAATTTCTCCTCACGGGGAGCTGGGCTGGACCCCAACAGCAGCAGGAGCTGGACGGACCCTCCCAGGCGCCCCCAAAATGAGTCCATGGAGCCACCAAGACCCCCCTCACCCCCCATGGAGCCACCAAAGGGATTCCAGCACAGGAATAAAAAAAAAAAAAAAGGTTGAAAACAACAACAACAACAAAAAAAACCCAGCTGGAAAAACCCCAAATCCCCTGAGATCGCCACTTCCCCGAGTGAAATTAAAAATAAAGGTGGGGGAGGTCCCAGCAGCCTGGACCCCCCCCCCCGGGGCACCTGGGGAAGGGGGAAAAACCCTGTGCTCCAGGTGGGAACCTGAGAACGGAGATACCGAGGGGGGTGAGGGCGTTTCGGTATCGGGTTGGATTGTGTCTCACGCAGATGTGGGTGAATTTTTCTTTTTTTTTTTTTTTTTTTTTTGGGGGGGTGTGGGGGGAAATAGTAAAAAAACAAACTGAGATTGTGAGGCTTGAAATAAATCCTCAGGTCCTTCGGGTTCTCCGTGAGCTCCGGAGCATCCTGCGGCTCCGAGCATCCCCATCCTCTGGATCCTGCTTGTTTTTGGAGGAAATAAGCCCAAACTGGCTTCAAACAGTAGTTTTATGCAGGGGGAGGAATAAAAATTAGGATTTGCCGGTGGGGGAAGGAGCAGAGCTGGACCCAACCACCGATAAGTAGAGGAGAAGGGAGATTCCAACTTTTTTCCAAGCTCCCATTTTCCCTGATGAAGACTAATATATATCATTTGCATGTTAAAAGTTTGATTTTTTTTTTTTTTTGAGAATAAAATAGAAGCTATTTACAACAAAACAATCAAAAAACAACCTCTTAAAATCCTGTAGAGAGAGTGGAGTTCCCAAAACAAAGGAGGGAAAAGGATGGAAATGAATAAAATATCTCCCTATTTCCAAATTATTTTTTTTTTAGGATTTTTGTTTTTGTTTTTTTTTCTTCTTTTTCCTTTAGAATTCCGGGGGGTTTCGCTAGAGCTCGCGTCAGCAGGCGTCCGTGCGTCTGTCTGGAGGTAACACGAGTTAAAAAATAATAATAATTATAATAATAATAATAATAAATGTACAGTGCAAAGTGTGATGTGAGTGAGGTAAACGGTCCCGGAGCGGCGCAGCCGGACAGCCGGCGGCTCCAGCAAAACCCCCCGGGCTAAAGCTTTTCTGCCTGGAAAAGGAAAATCCAACAACACGAGAACAAGGGCAGAGTCCATCGAGACCCCGATGAGACCCTGGAGAAACCCTGGCAAGACCTCGGGCGAGACCCTTGGTGAGACCCCAGTGAGACCCAGGCGAGATCTCAATGAAACCCTGGTGAGATCCCGGTGAAATCCTGTTGAGACCCCGGAGAGAGAGACCCTGGCAAGACCTCGGGTGAGACCGCGGTGACCCCCGGCGCGGCCCCGTCCCCCCACGGCCGCCGGTGCCGTGAGGAGCCCGAGGCTCGGGGGCGTTAAGGCGAGGCGCTGTTGGAGGTAGAGCTGGGGGGCACGGCCAGGCCGGCCGGGGCGGGGGGCACGTTCCCACCACTGCCGCTCCCCACCCCGCTGCTGCCGCTGCTCCGGCTGCTGCCGCCGTTGCCTTTGCTGTAGGCAGAGGAGGAGGAGGAGGAAGAGGAGGAGGAAGGGCCGGGCGTCTGGGCGAACAGCACACCTGGGGAGAAAGCAAAGCTGAGCCGCTGCTGCCGTGGCCGTGCGGGGCGGAGGGCGGCGGGGCAGGACCCACCCGCGGCAGCCCCTCACCTGTGTAGACGATGCCGTTGATCTCCACGGACATGCTGATGCTGTTGGTGCCGTTGCTGCTGGCGGCAGCGGCGTCCGGGCGGTTCTCTGCCGGGGAGAGCCGCGTTACGGAGCCCGCCGGGGCCGGGAGCTTGGCCGGGGCGGGCGGCCGGGGCCGGCACTGACCTGGCGACCGCGTGCCTTGGCTGTTGATGCGGATGCTCATGGGCAGCTGGGCCGTCATGGCCAGGAGGTTCTGCTGCAGCGCCCGCTGCATCAGCCGCTGCTGCTCGTCCGTCACCAGCGCCAGTTTCTTCTCCGGGGGCTCCCCTGACTCCAGCTTCTCCCGCAGCTGCTCCAGCGCCGCGGCCTGGGCGGCCGCTGCCACCTGCACCGCCGCCGCCTGCGCGGCCACCACGGGGTGCCCGGCCAGTGACACCGGGAGCCGGCTGGGCATGGAGATGGGGATGGGAGAGTCCTCCTCTGCCGGGGGAGCAGGTGTCAGGGATGGGGGCACAGGGGTAGGTGGATGCCACCACCCCAGGGTGTCCCCGGCCTCGGCACAACAGTTTGGTGCCCTGCTGTCCCTCCAAAGGTCAGAGATGGGTGATTGGAATCAGGGTCCCCGGGCTGAGTTCTGGAGCCCATGGAGGGGAGAGGAGCATCACCCCCCTGCCCACTTCCCCCAGCTCTCTCTGTTATTCCCAGGGCCAGGAGGGGGCTCAGCTTGCAACCAGACCCCGCGGCATCCGGACCCCGCAGCAGCCCAACCCTGGAGCAGGCAGACCCCAGAACAATCATTACCTTTCTTGATCTTCTTGCCCGGCGTGATGGCCCCGCCGTTGGTGGCAGATGCCAACCCCAGCGCCGGCACTGGCAGCTTGGGCGAGGAGAGGAGGCCGTGGGTGCCGCCGGGCGAGTAGGCGAAGAGGGAGCCGCCGAAGCCCTGCCGCCGGCCCTCCCGCCGGTTGCTGTCGATGGCCGCCTGCAGCTCGTTGGGGTTGCTCAGCCCACGCTTCTCACACTCGTAGGGGTACAGGTACTTCATGTACCTGCGGCCGGATGGGACACAGGCAGGGATGGTGAGGGTGACGCAGTGCCTGGGCGCCCCTTCCTGTGTGCCACTCCATTGCTCCCTCCCCACTGCTCACACACAGGGCTGTGCTGAGCCTCCCTCCCCTACACAGGGCAGAGGGACCCCCAAGGACTCGCCCCTCTCCCCTCCCCTCCGAGCCCACGCTCACTGGGTGCGCAGGGTGAAGGCCGCGCTGGTGATGGACGTGGGCAGGCTCAGCCCCTTGGTGATCTCCCGCCACAGCTTCTTGTTGATGACCTCCACCAGCCCCCCCTTCTCGGTCACCAGCGTGTACAGCATGTACAGGTCCAGCACCTGCTTGGCCATGATGGGGATCCGGTTCACGGGGGTCCCTGGGGAGCGGCGGGAGGAGAGAGCGGGTCTGGGGTGCTGCTTTCTTACCCGAAGTTGGGGCGCAGCTGCCGAGACCCCCGCGGGGCAATGGAGAGGCTGGGGGGGCTCCTGCTCCTCCTTCCCCTTCCACCGTCCCCTTCTTCCCCCTGGGCCCTCCCGCCGAGATCAGCCCCGAACAAAGGAAACAGAAACTCGGTTTCCAGCCACAGCCCCATCGCGGCCGAGCCGGTTCCTCGGGCTGAGCCAGCACCCGCAACGCGAGTTATTTATAACGGGGGCGGCACAATCCGGCTGTGAGGGTCTCCTATGAGCCGGGGGGAGTCATCCCTCCAACATGAGGAGGGGGCTGGCAGCACCTGCTCCCTCATTGGGATCCCTCCCCTCCCAGCCCTGCGGTGAGGGGGCTCTGGGGGACCCCAAAGGATGCAGGTGGGGTGACCCCAGAGGATGCAAGTGGGGGGACCACAGGGGACACAGACAGAGGAACCCCAGGGGACAGAGCCAGGGGAACCCTGGGGGACCCAGCCAGCAGCCCCAGCCCCGCTGTGCAGGCACACGTGCCTTCCCAGTGCACTCTGTGTGACAAAGGGCCGGAGCCAGCCCTGTGTCAGCACTTCCAGCGCTGTTTTCCACGCGGGAGCCAGACCCTCGAGCAGGAGCACGCTTGGCTTTCAGCCCTTCCCACCCCTGGCCCCCCTCTCCGTGGCCTCTCCTCGGCCAGAGGGCACAGCGAGGGGCTTTGCCCCCTGGAATAACCCAGGGAATGGGCAGAGGGGGCACACAGCCAGGGGTGCTGTGTGGGGAGGGGCTGCAGGTCTGGGTGCCATGGGTGAAGGGAGGGGGGGCCGCAGGCACTGGATCCAGCCCAGCAGGTTTGACCCTGTTGTGCTGAGGGGTTAAAGATTAACCAGCAGCTCAGCCGGAGCCGTGACCTCGGGGCATAACGAGGGGCAAGGAAATGAACCCCAGGCCCTGGGGGGGATGTGGGGGACGCAAGGTGGGTGTGGTGGAGCAGGGTGGGCACAGAGTGGGCGTGGGGACACAGGGTGAGAGCGAAGCTGGGGACTCACCTCGCTTCTGCATGAAGCTGAAGAGGTCGTCCAGGAACTCCTTCCTCCTGGGGTCACCATCCAGCTCGTACAGCTGCATGAGGAGAACAGAGGGATGCTCAAAAACCCCCTTAACCCGTGTGTCCCCCCACCTGAGACCCCCGGCTTCCACTGCAGCAGCCGTGTGGCTCAAAGGACACCAAATGGCTCACGGGGATCCCTGCATGGGTCAAGGTGGCTCCTGTAGCTTGGGCTGACCTTTGCCTGTGCCCCACTGTTCCATTCTCTGCCCGCCCTGCTCGGAGCTCAGCTCCGGGATGCCGGTGCTGGGATCATGGCCAGAGTGGCTCCCAGGCTGCCAGCGCCGTGCTTGGCCCCGGCTCCTCCCGGGAAAGCTGATCCCGGTTATTTTTAGCATCCACTGCCTGCTCAGCACAGCAACGCTTCAGCACGGTCCCTCCACGCTTGGGGTGCCACAGAGAGCCATGGCCGGGAGCCAGCACCTCATGTGCCTTGACGTGAGCTTGTGTGCCATGGCCCTGCAGGGACGTGTCCTGCACTGAGAAAGGCAGAGCTGGGCCAGGCTCTGACACGCCGCACCTCAATCACCAGCTCTGCTTGGGGCACCTCCAGCCAGGACCCCCAGCCCGCCAGCCCGGCACATTCCTGCCTGATTTATGGCGCAGGATCGGGCGGTCGGAGCGCCCGGCACGCCGGAGGCACACACCACGCCACGCCACGTGGCCTCTCCCGAAGCCCAGCGCTGTTTCTGCCTGGAGGCTGGTGGATAATCCCCCCCCATCCCGCGAAGGGTGTTGGAGCAGAGGCTGTGGGGGCCAAACACCAACAGGGGTGGCCACCACAGCTCCGCTTTTCTCAATGACAGCTCTGAACAACTGCCAGAGGGGCCGGGAGGGGCCTATAAATACCCCTCCATAATACACCAGGCACGCACCGTGGGGCCACCGCTGCCGGTCACTGCGTCACCGATGTGCCCACTCCCCCCATGGCTACGCCCTGTGGCACCAGGACCCTGAGCAGGTGGATGGGTGTGGGCATCGTCCTGGCTGTGAGCGAGGGGCTTGAGCCCCCTCCTCCTGCAGCCCTGCAGGGAGGATCCGGATCCCGCAGGGCTGGACTCGCCCGCTGGCGCCGATCAAAGGGATCAATGGGGCCGCATGATAAGCGGGGCCATAAACCCCCTTAGTTCCCCTGGGAAACTTGGCAGGCTCGACCAGTCCCTTGCACACCCCCAGGGCAAGGGCAGGAGTCACCAGCAACACCGGCAGAGACCCTCAAAGCCCCTCTCCCACCCCAGAGCTCCAGCAAGGGGTCTGGTGTGGAGGGAGTGAGCCAGGGCACAGCGCCACCGCCGTGATTATTGGGGCTGAGCTGCACCAGGCTACTTGTGCCAGCTGAGGGATGTTGGGCTGGTGCCAATCCAGCCTCCCCCATTTCCTTGAGCAGGAAAGCCACACACAGAGAAAGGGCTTCCCCGGCACCCGATCCTGCGGGGTGTGGAGCCATCCTGGGGAAGTGCCAAACACGCTGGTTCATCTGCCAAGACCCTTGGGGTCATGATCCCCACCCCCCCTCCATGACTCAGTCCCGAGGGGAAGGACACGTTTAAGAGGATGAAAGAAAATTAACCGTCAGCTGAGGAGAGCATGGCCGGCCAGGACAGGGGGATTAGTGGCCGCGGCGGGCAGCTGCCCTGTGTGCTGGCTGGTGGTCCCAAGCCACGCTCAGCTGGCTGCAGCCACTCTCTGACCCCTGCCCAACTGGGATGAATTCATGGGGGTCCCCAGGGATGGTGGGCAGAGGGATCCCTGTTCTTGCCCGGTGACCTCACAGCCCAGCCGACACACCCGCCACGGCTGCCGGGCAAAGGATGTTGCACAAGCTGCTGCTGACGGTTACTGGCAAGACTTCGACAGCTTTGCTGCCCTTGGCAGCTGCTCACTGACCACTGCAGTGCCAAGCAGAGAAACAGGCTCCCCTTGGGACCCCCCAAACCGTGGTTTAGCTCTGCCACTGCCAGCAGAACCAACTGCCAGCGATGGGCACCTGCCCAAGCCGCTCATCCAGCAGCACTGTGGGGCAAGGACATGCCCAGCCATGGCCGGGACGTGCCCGGTGTGCGCTGTGGTGTGTGACAAAGTGGCATTTGCCAAGCTGCCCCTGTCCTCCCTTACCAGCCCCGTTCCCCCTCGCCCCCTCGCACAGGCAAGATACGGAAGGGGACAGAGACGAGTGACTCCCAGCAGCCCCTCGCAGGATTTCCTTGCATTGACGCCATCCGCAGCCAACGGCAAAGCAGCCGGCGCCCCGTGAGCCCCAACGGCAGCGCAGGACAGCTGGGACAGCGGGGCTCACAATGCAAATTGAGGAACAGAAACGTTCTGGTTTCTGCAGCATGTGAAACCCCGTGCGCAGCTGAGCTTGGCGCAGGCTGGCAGCTGCTGGCACTGCTACACCGAAATCAGCAGGTGCTGAGTCTTTTGCCTGCTTGGTGCTGATCCCTGCCTGTGCCCTGCCTCCTGCTCTCGGCCCTGGCTTCTGCTCAGCTCAAAGGCAGCTCCTCGCAGGGACATGCAGCGTCTCGGTGCAAAGGTACCGGCGGGCAGGAGTTGCAGGCAAGGCCACCCTGTGCCGCTGAGTCAATACATTTATGTTTTGTAATTAGGGAAGTGGAAACGACTTAATCCATAACGCAGCTGCCCCGGGAATATCCTCTTACCATGGGGTCCCCCACGGCAGAGTGCGGTGCCAGGGGATGCTGCGGCACAGCCACCCCAGACTGGCTGGGGGCACCTGGAGATGTCCCCCACCTCCCTGAGAGTCCCCTGGGCTGGGGGTTCTGCCTCCACGCACCCTGCGCTCCCAGTGCTGACCCACCCCAGTGTGAAAGCTTGATGCCAGCGGCACGGCTGGCTCTGGCCACACTGTCCAGCCCACCTGGCCGCAGTGCAGCCCCCTTGGCCCCGGCCCCCGGCCGGCTGAGGACACGGAGCCAGATGGCCGTTGCCAGCAGATCTATAATTAAGTGGAGGAGGAATTAGGCAGGCGGTGGGCGGGTGGCCCTGACCCCGGCCCAGCGCCCCGGCAGGATGCCGGCCCGGCGTTTGGTGTGGATGACCGGATTAATGTTTCAAACCAGATTACAGGAAAATCCCAACCCGCTGGCTTTCAAAGGGCGGGCGGGAGGCGGCCCCTTGGCAATGCCAGGAATGCAGGAGAGCCCTCGGCACGGGCGCGGTACGTGCCGGGGGTCCGACCTCCCCCCGAGCTGGGGCAAGGGGGGCAATTACGAGGAGGAGGGGAAGCACCATTTCACAAGGCTCCGGGAATGCCGGGGGTCATGCCGGTGCCAGGCAAATCTCCCCTTTGGCAGGCCCTTGTCTGCCCCATGAGGCGTCGTGCTGGAGTCTGTGTCCCTGCATCCCACGTCCGAGTTAAAAACACCTCCCCTTCCCCCCCGCTTGGTTCCGGGTTTTCAGGCCTCGGGGATTAATTTTCAAGTTTCTTTTCCATCGCCAGGAAGTGGCAACACTCTCGGTTTTCCTCCTTCCCTCCAAAACCGGTTTGGGACGTGCACACCGTGACGTGAGCCGGGACTGGGGACAGACCCGAGGGCCACTGCAGCAGGGCTGGGGGCTGGTGGCAACCTCCACCTTCCAGGGGCTAAACTCTCCCAAATTCCTGTATTTAAGGAAAAAACACAATGCAGGCAGCGGCGGGGAGAGCCCACCCTGTCTCGGCAGGTAGCAGGACCAGCAGTGACAGGCTGAGGGGCTACTCCTCTCCTTTTCTTGCCTTCCTTCCTCTGGCAGCCCCCGGGGATGCATCCCTTTGTCCAGCGGGCAGCCGAGGGGCCACGCTGGGCTGGGGAAGAGCCCGCGCACACTAACGAGTTGTTTAACGAAGAATAAACACATTTATGGCGTGTTTCCCGTCCCACTCCCAGCCCATACACAGCCCCCGGCCTCTGGCACGCCGGGACCCGCAGTGGGGTCGGAGAGGGCACTTATTCAGAAAAAGAAAGTTATTTGTAAAAACCAGCACCAAGGATTGGCGAGGGCTCCGGGATGCAGAGTTTTGGAGGCGCTGGGGACGTGACTTTCCCGTAAGGCGATGGCTGGGTCAGGGCTGGGGGTGCCCGAGGCTGCAGCCCCTCTCCAGGCACAGCCCCCCCGGTGTGGGGTGCGGGGTTTGCTGGGGCCAGTCCCTCCCGGGGAAGGGCAAAGGGAGCGTCCAGCCCCGGAGCAGATTCCTACACAGATAAAGCGCTCGGCTTAGGTACAGGTCACCCCTGGCTGTCCCCATCCCTAATCCCCTGCGAGCCCCCCCAGGGCACAGCCCCTTGTGCGAAGGGGCTGCTGGGGGCAGGGATGTGTGTGCCCCCTCCCCAGAAATCTCCCAACACCTCGCTCGTGGGGGATGTGCTGGCGGGAGCCTCGCCCACATGGCCAGGGCCGGCGGTGACTCCACTGACCGGCCCGGCGGGATTCCTGCCGCCGGAGCATGGCTGGGCTGGGGGGCCGCTTCCGCGGGGGCAGCTGGGGAGGGGGCCCGGGAGCTTCCGTCGGCACCATTGTTCACACCAGTTCCCAGCATTGTCCCCTCCACGGGGGACACGGCCCGACCGCAGGTGCCTCTTTGCACCGCTGCCTCCTCCTCGGGCCAGGGGACACGGTGGGCAAAGGATCCACCCAGTGACAAACCCAGTCCCGATCCCCCACCATCGGCCCGGGAGTCTGAGGGTTCCCGAGACCACCCGGTGCCCACCTCCTCCCCACACAGGCTGGGGGATGGAGTCATGCGGGTGACCCTGGGGGTACGCGGGCGGTGTCACGGCACGGCGGGTGTCACGGCACGGCGGTGTGTGTCCCCCGAGCGGCGGAGGGGACGCTGAATGGGCGAATTAGTCACCATTTAACCTCCTTGACCCCCCATTGTCCGTGCGCTGTCGGCCGCCCTCCCCAGCACGGCGCGGGCCGCTGTGCCCAGCCAGCCGGCAGCTCCCGGGATCCGTGTCCCGGCGGCTCCGGGACGCTGCTGTTCGCTGCCTTCCCGCAGAGGAGGAAGCGATTC